GGAAAAATGAAAGTTAGGTCTTTACTGGGTTTTCTTAAAATCTCAAAAAAGAAATTAGACATTTCCAAAGGGGTGATTTACTAGACATCGTATCCTGTGAAGAGGACAGAGATTAGATGATCAATGAAAGGCTCATTATGTGAGTCCTGGGTTTCGTGAGGTCCATGAAAGAGCTCTGAGCAGGAGACAGTGAGTGGCTCCTAAGAAAGCCAGGCTCTCCTTCAAGGCTCTCAATTGCTCATTTGTGGATATGACATTACAAGAAATACCATTTGCTCCTCAGAGGACTTCTATATCCTTCTCCATACAGTCTCTGTGTTCACATAGAGGAAATTCAAAGCCTCCATCTTTTCATCCCTTTTAAGTTTGACAACAATACCAAACCCGACCCTGAGACCCCTCTACCTTCTCATTCTCTCAAGGTGCTTGGGAAACCACCTAACTTTATGATTGAAATTAATGTTTTCATTCGCCTGCAAATGCTGGAGCTCAACACACATACCAGCAGAGTGAACGCAAGCCCCTTCGGCTTCTTCAGCCAGGTAATAACGCCTCTTCCTTTTTTTTTTTTTTTCCTTTTTTCCTTTTTTTTTTTCTTTTTTTTTTTTTTCATTATCCCTTTAATGCAGAGCAGGGCTACTGATTACAAAGAGGCAGTTTGACTCCAGCAATAGGTCTTCTTCACTAATCCTCACTGTCATGGAAATTCCAGCTGCTACAAGAATAAGAGGTTCAATCCATATTTGCCAGCTCTAATATGAAATCTGTCAGAGCCCAAATTAATGAGTTCCAAATTCCTTACATCACGATAACAGGTTAAGACTGGTCAATTAATTACATAAATCCTTCCCGATTCATTGTGCGTTTGCAGCCTAGATTGTGTCTTACATTACTCCATGACACAAGGCCTTTTGGCTCCTGTTGTTCTGCAGAAAGACCCCATTTAAGTGGAGGCTGCCTGCCACGGCAAAATGTTAAATGTCACACGTTAAATTTGCACTTTTCTGTAATTGCTTTTGTTAAAAAAAAAAAATTAAATTAAAGCACAGGGCTCCCAGTACACCAGGACCAGAGGGCTGGGATGGTACTGAATGGATCCCCAGGCACGCAAGTAGCTCCCCTTTACCTTTAAAGGCTCGTACAGAAGACAGTGGAGCCCAGAACGTGCATACTTGCGAAAATCAACCAAGGTTCCCTAGGATCTGTGGCCACAAAAATACATGTTTGGAAGATTCTTTTCTTTATGAAAGGATTTAAAACAGCAGTCTTTACACAACCAGATTCCCTTTTGTCTACCAGCAAAAGTTAGATAAAACGCTGTGGATCTAATCACCTGTCCAGGAACATACATTGTACGAATGAGGGGGTGTTATACTCGTGTGCGTCTTTGCCTCCCCAAAAAAGATGTGGCTGATGGCTCTGCTACTTGGATTTGTAACTGGTCCACATCTACAGAAGGAAACTCATTGAGGATTAAGATCTCAAAGGAGTTCAAAAATCACCCAGGTCAAACGTTTTCCTTCTTAAAACATCAAAATGGGCTTGGAATCCCAGTTCATTTGAACTAGACCTGGGTCTGCGGACTTGCAGCTTCCCAGCTGGGGCAGCCGGTCTTCACCCCAGGACCTTTCCTGGTGGGTTGGACTTGCGTGTGCTTAGGTGCTCTGCACCCAGTGGAACCAGTCCCAGGTTGGTTCCCGCATCGTCTTCGCGTGGAGGGCTGGGAGGGTCCGCGAACACACGAGCGAGCAGGCGATGCTCCCCTAATCTATGCGAGGCGCAGGTTCCTTCCACCGGGAACCGCGAACACCACTCCACCCCGCGGACGGCTAGCCAACCCCCCGCGGCGCGTTCTCGGGCGGCAGCGGCCCTTGCAGCGCCGGCCCGGCAGCGCCCCCCGCTGTCCTCCCGCGGCCTTGCACCGGGTTTGCCGCCCGCCGCGCGCCTCCTTTTTTTCCCAGGCGGAGAACCGAGCGGCGCTGCTGGGCCCGCAGCCCGAAGCCGGGGAGGATTTGTGTCTCCACCCCCACCCCCCACCCCCACCCCCACCCCGGCACACACAGGCATTAAACTCTGACCCAGGCCCGTTTCTGGACCCGGAGGCACGCGCTTCGACCCCGAGGCCCCGTCCCGCCGCCAAGCGCGACTGTCCCCTCCCTCTCCAAGCGGGAGGAGGCGAACTCCGGCGACGGCGCGTCCGCCCCGCAGGTTTTAAGGTCCTGGGGAGACTGGAGAGGAAAAGGGGTTAACTAATGGGTGCGGTGCGCGCGCAGATGACCCATGTGGGGCGCACGGGCCGTGCCCCAGGGGCGCCCGCGGGGGCCCCGCCAGGCCTCGCCGCCTCTCCCGGGCCGGCCGGCGGGGCCGGGGGGCCGCAGCGCCGCGAGCATCTGCAGAACAAAGCCTCGGGTCGAGACCGAGCATCGCCGCCGCCGCCGCCGCCGCCGCCGCCGCCGCCGCCGCCGCCGCCTCCCCGGGGCTCCCGCGCGGCCGACCCCGAGCCCACCGGAGCGGCGGGGGCGCGGCTCCACGCGCGCTCGCAGGCCCAGCGGGGCCCCAGGAGACGACTGAGCCCCGAGGCCCGGGGGTCGCGGTGGCGGAGGGCTCCGCTCTGCAAAGCTCCCTCCCACACCAACCTCCATCCCCACCGCCCCAGCGAGGTCCCTCTGCCTTCCTGTCGTATTTCTACTTTTCAGGCCGCCAGAGCTGTCATTGTCACATTGGGAAGGGGGCCTCGCGCTGCCCACGTTGGCAGCAGGTGGGGCAGGGGACAGGGCGCTGCAGGTTTGGGCTGTAAATCGCTGTCATTTTGCGGTGGTTGTTCCCACTCACCGCTTCCCCCACCCCCACCCCCCCTCCACCCGGGTTTTTTTTTTTATTATTTTTTTCCCCTTCTTTCTTTCTTTCTTTCTTTCCGCAGCGCAGTTGCTATGGGTTACCAGGGCGGTTGCCATGGGTTACCGGACCGAGGCCGGCTGGCGCGCTACCTGCCAGCCAGTCGCCGCCGCAGCCGCCGCGGGCCGAGCGCCCGGGCGGGAGGAGGCGGGAGCGCGCGTGTGCGGGACGCGGCGCGGGGGAGTGCGCGAGCCGCCGGGGCGCCGCAGCCAACGGGCGGCCGAGGCTGCAGCGGCGGGAGCGCGGCCGCCGCTGGGGAGGGGCGCGGCTATAAAGAAGACCCCGAGGTAAGAGACGACCCGACACACGCGACCGCAAGCGCCGCCCGCGCTGTGCCTCCGCGGCGCCCCAGGCCCGCGGCGAGGGGTTTGGGATGAGGCTGCACTTCGGTGGGGGCGCGAAAGGCTACTTTGCTCTTTAGCATAAGCCATTTGCATAGTGTCTTTAAGAGCTGCCGTGCAGCAGAAAATTGTAGCTGAATTCTTTTTTTTCCCCCCCCCTTCTCTTCTGGACCTTTTGAAAAGAAGTCTTTGGGATTTTGGAGAAAGAGAAAAGGGATCATTAACTACCAAGAGTTTGCGCAGCTAAAATAAATTAGTGTCCAATGCACTGTTCATAGTAACGATGTAGGAAAAGTTTGCAACAAGAGCGGAGAGCAATCGGGTCTGACTTACAGGGACAATGGGGACTCGTTTGTGAGATGCATATGGCAAAGAACAGGGGCGAGATCCTTTGTAAATGTTTCAGATTTTAGAGAAATTGTTGCTTACGCTCCTCGACAATTTTTGAACTTCCTGTTAACAGTGTATTAATGTCTTGTGGCCTTTATTTGCAAAGGACATCGTGTCTATGCTTTGAATGTCAAGTTGCAGTAATTAATTTCAGAAGGCATTTCTTTCTGAAAGTGTGTGTATATATAATAAAGTAAGAAAAGGTCTGTATTCCAAACAAAAACAGAATTATGTTGAAATAAATGGTTTTATCCACTGAAAAGATGCTACATTGAATTCACAGGACATCGACTAAGCAATTTAAATATTAGGAGGAAAACTATTTAGAAACAGAATAAGCCTTTGTCTTGTTATTTTTGTCTTAAAACCGTAGAGGCCCTTCGTGGAAAAAGGGTCTTCTCCTTTTTAGCTGAAATACTGAAAACCTTATTTGTGTCACAGCAGCTCAATTGCGATGAATCCTTAAGGCATCAAAAAAAACAAACTGAGTTCACAATGGCATTCAATTTACTGTTGGCTATAACAGTAATTGTGACTAGACTAAATGAATTTGTTTATGTTCTGAATAGCCATAAAAGAAATTTTATTCTTTTACCTTACTACAGTAAGGTGATTGCATATCACTTGTATTTAATTATTCAATAAAATGTGCATTAGGCTCGAAAGGCTCCTGCAAGATATTTAATATTTTAAGGGATATAACTACTTAAAGACAAACATTTCTGGTTTTCCTTAGTAATTTTTAAAACTTGACATTTTAACTGCTATCTAAATCACTTTCTTCCAAGTGAGACTTTAAAGAAGCCCTAAGTAACAGGTTGTTGATTTTCATTGTTGACACCTCTGGGTTATACATAAAGTCAGTTCTCAAACAATACACATAAACTGGCTTTATAGGTGAATCATTTACCCTTTCAGAATTAGCCAGGGAAATACAGTGTCGCTGCGTGTAAATCATAAAGCATCCAAGATTATTAGAATTCCTTAAATTTAAGTTACACTAAAAATAGTTTTAAATAAACATCTATTTAATTTAGTTACTTAGTAATTATTTTCTTTTCCTAAAGAAAGCTTTGTAAAAATATGCCAGAGAAAAGTAAGAGACCAGAACAAAGCAAGGAAGCCACAGGGGGCTGAAGTTCACCTAAATATCTCAGCCGCAGAAAATGAGTTTTAAGAAGCCAATGCTTAGATATCACAACCATCAAACCAAGGCTAAAAGCTTCACTTGTGCACAGCTATAGGGACTATTAAACCAAATCTTACCAAAGTTTCTCATTAAAATTTACTGCTCATTCAGAAACACCCCTATTTAGGTGTTAGTCAGAAGAAATATATTCTCTTGTATAAAATAAGTGATCCAACAAACCGAACTTGATTTTTTCACGTTTAATGTGAAAACGATGATCTTGTGAAGTTTACATACCACAGTATTAGGCATACTTAATATCAATTTTGATGGCTATGTTACATCATCTAAAAATAATACGACAATCGGTGGCACTTGACATGCTTTTCAAAACTGCTGTTTAAACAAATAATGTGAATTCAAATACATATTGCCAGCAAGCTAAGGATCGCTCTTAAATGACTTGATGGCAAACTTTACATGTTAGCAAGATAAAAAGAAGTTGCTAAATCTTTTTTTCCTCTGTATTGAAATAATAAGTCTTAGATGAATAAAGTAATGAGATCCAAGATACATTAAATCAATATTTACAGAAGCTCAATGTTTTAGACCAAATAAAAACAAGAAGGAAGAATTAAGGAGATCATTCTTATTCTAAATTTAATTTTTTTTCTGTTCTTTGTTACCAGCATTTCAAAGACTTTTTAATAACATGGTAACTTTTAAACTCCCAGTTAAAATAAAATGAGGTACCTAATTAAATGAGGTAACATTTAATTAAAGCAACAAGTTATTCCAGTGTTGTAAAAACATCTTCCCGGTAGTTTCAGAGATATTTCATACCATCCAACAGAAAAGAAACTTTGGATATTTATCTCAAGAAAATGCTGCCTCGTCTGAAATTTGAAGTTCACTGTAGTTTATCTCAGACCTTTTCTCTTTGAGTCACTAAAAAAGGCAACATTTTATTAAATGATACCAGTCCTCAGGTAGATGCTTTAAAAGAAAGGGCTTTTTAAAAATGAAAAAAATTTTAAATTAGCAAGTTGATATTCTTTTCTAAATCACAGGAATATTTACTGATAAATTTACTAATTTTTATAAGATCCCACTTCTAACGTAAAAATAAGTGACAAGTAGCCACCACTGACACTGAAAGTTACCTAGTGGTAAGAAATTGCACATTTAGTCAGAAAATAAATAGTTAACCCGTAAATTCTAATCGCACAACAATAATGAAAACAAACTACTTGTTTCCAGAAACCATGTGTGAATCTGGATAATGAAAATGTATTTCTGAATCCATATATTGCAAATATAAGCAAAATGACTAACACTATTTCTGTTTTTGTGTAAGACATCAACATTATTTTAACATGTCTCTATGCATAAGATACACTTTCCATCTAAATGTGAAATAAAATACTGGAGAGGTGAAACTTCTTAAAATATTCCAATCAAACAGCGCAAAGCGAAGTGTTTTTCCCCAGTGCAGGGGGTGGGTGCCCACAAAATATCAGCCACATGTCTGAGAGAGGCGGCCTGGTCTATGCTGTCAATTTTCATCGTGGTTAAGATCATACAGGCTGTATTGATGCTAACACTGTCCCACTGATGCAAGAAGGAATGTGCTGTCTGGAATTTAAATGCAGGCTACCTATATACCTATCTTTTAAAATTCAGCAAAAACCAAGGAGATTTTTCTAAATGCATAAATCATTTCATTCCAGGGCAGGATCTTATTTTACCAATAATGTTTGCCTATAAGGAGACTGCATTCACAGGCCTTTAGCTTTTTACAGGAGCTTAGCCAAAATAAGACACAACATAAAAATACCACTAATAAACAACCCAGTGTCTTTAAGAATTTAAATTCCTAATATCATGACAGTGAGCTCTAGGTAAGGATATATTAGCAAGCTTTCTTCTCCATGAGTGGACATAATTTGCTATTCCTAAGATGGTAACATTAGAATTATTTTTCAGGATTCCTGTGGAGCTGTGCTCATCGTACATCCATGTGAACTGCTGTCATCACTACTGTGTCCAAACCCAGAGGATGAACTGGAAAAGAAGAGAGGGGGAAAATAATAAAAAGAGGAAATTGGTTTTCACAACACACTCAAAGCCTGAGTAACAGAGGAGAACTTTAATTATCTCCAGTCACAAAGAGAGACAGGAAATTTGGACTTTTAATTAGCCATTTGGAGTGCAGTTGGATATTTTTTTAGCTAGATAATTTAAACGCGAATAATTCAAGTCTGACTAAATGAAAGTCACATAATCAGAATGCAGATAATTGAATTTCTACTGCATTCATTAATTCAGTGTGGAGGTGTGTGTGAAGACTACTATGATGAGCTGTCACAGCTCAATAAAATCTCAGTCAATTAATTTTTTCATTATCTTAGTATTACATCAACAAAAAAGTGAAGTGTGTAGATATATCTATACACATGCATATGTGCACTCTGTATTATGCAAACACATATACATTACATCGAAATGCAAGGAAATACCTTTCTGAATCATAATCTATATCGTTTTCTTTTTTTCCTTCTTCATCTTCTTCAGGGAAACGTCTGTTCATCAAGGCAAACTTGTGAATCGCGTCTTCTACAGAGTACTTGGTCTGCCCAGAAACGCAAGCCTCAATGTCTTCTGAATTCAAGTGGCTCTGCAAGAAGAGGTGAAGGCAGCTATCCGAGAGCAGGAGTGCGTTCTGTAGGACCCTATGTAAAAGGGAAAAAGGAGAAATGATCGGTGACCAGGGATGGACAGAGGGTAGGACAGAGAGAAACGCTAAAAATGTGCCACTGAAGTAATCTCTTCACTATGGCAAACTTTGCATCAATTAAAGACACTGCCTATTAAAAGGATGAAAGCATATGTTAACTTTTATTCAATTATTTGGAAATTTAGGTGGGTAAAAACATGAAGCTAATAGTTAAGAACATCTGTTAAAAGAATAACTTCAAGGACATTTCTTCAATTTAACCATCTGTTATGACCATGTGGATTAATTATGGAAAGATTTTGCTTATACTCCTAGAAATTTATTTTCCTTAAAAAAAAAATTTTTACTGCCAACCAGTACGTCTATTCTGTGATCTTTATGGGCTAGGCTGTCATGAAACATCAAAACTTTCAACGACTATTAAAAATTCTATTAAAAAGTCAATATATTTCTCAGCATGTCTTATATTTTAAAACTTTACAAGTATGCTTAGGTACATGTTTACAAGGGCTAACCTGAGAAGTGGCCTTTTTTTGAATACCTAAGACTAACTAAAAATTTCTCCATAATCTTCGGTGGCAGTGTGTTTCTATGTCGTTAAAATAAGCCACCAAATAAAATTACTCCCAGCCAATTTTACCATATATACACTTAAAATATGATAATTTTGTGATAAGTACTTATTAGCCTTCCCACATTCAAGGTCAAAGTTTACAGAGAGTATAGATTTCAACCAGTGAGTGCATCAGAACTCCAGGGAAAGTTAAAAACAAGTCCAACAAATCTGTACCGGCTCAAAATCATATTATCACCGAATGTGGTGTTTTTTTTTCTGACCTGCATGTCTTCGAACAGGAAATTAAGTCAAAGTACACCCTTATTTTTAAACTAAAACTGGTTTTACCATTTTAGGAAAGAACTTGATATACAATAATTTAATCTCTATAAATAGTTCAATAATTATATAATACCGGGCACTCAGACCGGATAGAGGGAACAAAACTAAAACACTAAAACCAGAGTATAATTTTGCCCAACACAGGATTTTACATAGAGAGCTCTATGAAAACCGAATCATGTATGTCAGACCAAATGAACCTTACCTTATATTCTGCATTTTTACACAAATAATTAGGAAAGCATATCTTTTTTGGACATTTATATCAATGTGCTTAAAACTCAAGGTCATTAGAAGATTTCCTTTCCTCCAAAATAAAACAGAGTCCTTTTCTTCAAGAAGGCAAAAGTCTAAACACGTAGAGCATGAAAACCAAAAATCTAGCTTCAACAGGCTTACCAATGTAGCTTGGGAAAATATTTTTACAGGCCTACTAAAAGGAAAAGTAAAACCTTTGTGCCTTTTAAAAGGGCAAAATCTCAAGCAAAGCAGCTAAGTACTTCCCCTCCCCTCCGTGTCCTCTGCCCTGGCTTCTCCCAGAAGATGACCATATCACATGATGAAGATTAATTTACCAAGTACAAGTAGTAAAGTAGTAAATCCCTTTTACTACTTTTTGAGATTTATTTTCTACATTTACAAATGTTTACCACTCTTGTTTTAAATACTTCAAGAGAGGATTTATATGGCAACGACCCATTAATATTAACTTGTGCTCGCCGTTTGCACAGAGTTTCCTGTGTCTGCCTGTCAGTGGTCTTCCTGCCAGCCACGGTACAAGGAACTGCTCATAGGATTATACTCACTGCTTTATTTCTGTTGGAAATGTGTTTTATTTTCTTTATAAAATAATAGGTAATCTTTAAAATTGATTTTAGATGGTTCGAGGCATTACACCACAAAAGTAATGAGCACTAATGCCAATGATATTGGACACAAATTCATTTTAGCTTTATTTCATGTCTAAAGCAATTCTACTGAGCCTTGAACTGCTCACGCGCGGTTATTAACTTGCTAGTAACCTAACACATGGGTGCAGCAAACAAAAGTGATCAGAGTCCAGGTTGATCGGGACCTCAAGGCTACTGTCCTTTTTCTTGAGCTATAATTCAATTTCCAATTTTACTGTACATTAGACTCATTATTTCCCAGTGTTTTCTTTTCTGCTTATTACTGCCATCTGGAGGGCATGCTGGTGAAAAGCAAGAGGGAGCCTGCACACACCCAGCTCAGGATTCTGAAGTGGGAGATGTGACCCCAGCTCCCAGGGAGGCAGGATCTGAACACTACATGGCCCTGGACTCACAAAACAGGACACCTGCTAGGCACAGTTTGGTTATTGGAATGTCCTCTGCCTGGCTGGCTAAATTTACGTGGCCGTGCTGCATGGGTATGGGTTTTAAATAAGCAAAAGAAATTTTGAACATATTTATGATTTTTACTCTCAGGTATTTCATTTCGCAATTAAAAGTACCAGATTTTGCAAATATTTTCCCATCTGGTTCATTGAGCGTAGCTCATTCATTTTAAGTAGTATCTGGTATTTCAGAGAATGTTGTGACTGCCACCATAATATTAAATCCTATTTTTACTGTAGTCATATTTGTGCCACATTTTCCACAAACAAATCTAATAGCAGAAAATCAACTTCAAACTTAATACAAAGAGTACTTTGTAAAACCGTCAATAAAATGTCATCTTTATAAGCTTCCATAAAAATAAATGTATATAATTTTCAAGCCTTTATAAAAGCAGCAAAAAAAAAAAAGGTCTCTGAAATTTTAAAGAAATTTCTGAAAAGATATTTACAACATGAGTCAAAAGTTATTCCTTTCCCCAAAACAACTTTAAACAAAGCAAATCCTGTTTTTCCCTTGAACTGGACACAGTTGAAAATCTGGTTTTCTTCAGCATGATTTTATTAGGTGTATTATATACTGGTCCAGCTGGGAACAATATATAGCTATGCAAAACCACTTAATCCTAACTAAGGATGCCCTGTCTACTGAACCCAATGTAATGATATATACACATGTGTATAGAGTATGGAAGGTTAGCAGTGGGATGTAAGGGGAAAAAATTAATTCAGCCTGTTTACCTCTTACCAGGAGAAAAAATAAATAAAACCTACAAATCCTCACTGAAGACATTCATGATCTGTGCTATGGTGCCCTCTATTGAACACAAAGATTTATAAAAAGTGTGTGTGTGTATGTGTGTGTGTGTAAAACTAGTCTTTCCATGGTATCCTTTTGTAAAAACTCTAATATTCCTTAAATTTTTAAGAAATTTAAAATTCTAATACAGAAGTTTACACTGTAAGGGACATGTAGTCATATTAATGAGATTAATTCAATAAAGAAGGAAAGCTGGCTCCCATTCGTGGTATGAAGCAAACAAAAAATTACTAGGACTGCCATGTTTATAGTTGGTTACTTACCAACAGTTTATAATTTTAGTCTATAACTTTCTTTTTCTATGACTATTAATAGAAGTGACTTACAATTTATAATTAGCCAGAGGGGTGGGGAGGAGTCCAAAAAAGGAGATGATACCCAAGATTGAGAGAAAATGAATATATCTGAAAAATGTCACAATTATACTGGCCAAATTTAGCCAGCATTTAAGAGTTCCACTAATTATAAACTTGCCAGTTCCTGGAATTCATATGATGTCTCCACCGTTCCTATAATTTCCTTGTCTATAAAATTGAGATGACACCCAATTCCTAATATTATTGTAAGAACTGAGATAAAACATGTAAAAAGCTAAACACAGAGCAAGTGTTCAATAAATGGTACAACTTATTATTATTTGGCACCTAGTTAAAGAAACAACTTCCCAGTTCCTTCATAAAGGCTAGCCTGGATACGTACTTTGTTATTAAAGATGTATGATTTCACCTCAAGATGAAAAAACATATATATACTTACATGTGCACATATGCACAAAGACAGCAGCCTTTTGGTTTCAAAGGGTGTGAACATATATAGTGTTCTTGGTTTATAACTTCAAAACCTCCATAAAAAACAGATTTTAAAAATACATGCCAGGGGCGCCTGGGTGGCTCAGTCAGTTAAGTGTTCACCTTCGGCTCAGGTCATGATCCCAGGGTCCTGGGATGGAGCCCCACATCAGGCTCCCAGCTCAGGGGGTAGTCTGCGTCTCCTGCTCCCTCTACCCCTCCCCCTACTGGTGCACCTGCTCTGTGTCAAACGAATAAAATCTTTTTAAAAATAATAAAAATTAAAATACATGCTAAAAATCTACAACATAAAAAATAATAATAAAAATAAAGTAAAAATCTACCACACAAGCATATTTCACATTTTAATGCTCTGGTGTCTTCCCTCTCAAGTTCCTAAAAGTGCAGGCTATTGACAGTGGCCTTACTTAACGGGTAGCCAGCGGGGCCCCAGGGGATGTCCAGCTGGGGTCAGGACACAGTGCGGAAAAGGTTTCCCAGAGTGGGCCTGGGCTGAGGGGATTCCAGGGGCAGGACCTGGAAGGCTGCTACTTCTACACAAACCAGACAGAGACAGGAGAGCTCTGCATCAGAATCTGAGGGTGAGGAGGATCAAGAGGAGCCCCAGTGTCAAGGACACCTAGGTCAGGCTTGAATCCAACCGTGTGTTATCATCCACTCCTTGCTTCCTTCAGGTGCAAACCATGTAGAAGCACCGGCTTTCATTTTTAATGTGAAACTCATCAGCTTGGAGACTAATATTCACATACTAATGGTGGAACAAATAACAACACAAGAGAACGTGGTGTCTGTTCTATGACTGGACTTCTGGATGATAATCCGGATCCAATTTTAAGGAACCTAGCGATCCCCTGATAGGTACACAGCACTTTCCCACTGGAATGGGTGCTTCAAGAGGAGAAGGATTGTTGTCCCATCTGCCCAGTACCCAGGCTGGCCCAAAGTGACACTTGACAAACAGGTTATCAGAGGCCTTTCCAAAATGCATCATCCTAATGACACAACCAATGAGGTCAAGCAGTGTTTTGTGCTACATTATCACATCCTTTAGAGCAAACCAGGGCACATGAGAATTAAGTGATTTTTTCCAAGGTCGGAGAGCCAGAAAAAATTGAGAAGCTGCGATTCATGGGAGACCTGGAACCCAGCTTCCCATGCTCTTGCTCCAGGATACCCCCTGCTAGGAGGACTGCATCACATTCAATCAGCAAGCAGCCAAATGACACAGGATGCAAAAACCACCAGGCACGAGCATTAACTCCTCTGCAGCCAAGTCACACTCACTCAGGCATCAATTTGGTAGATCAACTGGGGAAGGAAAGGTCATAGTCAAAATAGTGAAGTGATTCCTGGTCAGAAACACATGCCCTGTGCTGAACTCACAATATAAATACAGGGACACATGCTGTCCTTTGACCTCCAATCAGGAGACTCCTCTACAGAAGACAAACAGCTTCCCAGCGCTGAGAGGGACCACAGGATTTGCCTGTCCCTGTCCAGGCCTCACTGCTGACCGCCAGTCTGCAGCTCCCCGAGCAGCGTCTGCACTGACAGCCCACTCGGCAAACTTGAACCACTGAAGCCACATCTTAAGGGAGACGCCATCAGCCACCTGGGTCCTGGGTCTCATAGAGGCAGCAATTAAAATCAGGGCTGTCTCCCAAGGGAATGGGCAGAAAAGACTTGACCAGGTCTTTGTTCTCCATGCCTGTGATACCCAAAAGAATACCCCCGTAATGGCTCCTGAGGACTTGGCTCACTTAATAGGTTCTTCTGGTGTCTTGTCATTTTTATTCTTCTGGCTTCCTTTTCCTTTCTGGGCCTCCCTCAATTTATAATCTCGCACGTTTCTATATGTCTCCATGACCCCTTCCAAAGAAAGACACTATATCAACCTAATTGAAATAAATATTAATATTCATGTGCATACTTAATACCCAAACCCTTTATGAGTGGGCCATATGGGGAGAAGGCAGTATGTTATTTCAGGCTAGCTCTAAGGTATTGTGTAGTGAACTCCAAAGGAGATTACTTCAGATCCTGAAGTCAATGGAAAAAGAGAGGGAGCTTAGGAAACTAGGCCCTGCCACTAATAGTCATAGGACTCAGCCTATTTCCTTATCTATAAAATAGGAATTTAGAAAAATTAGCTCAAAGCTAATTTCATGTCTAAGTGGATTAAAATAATAACGACCAATACCACACATTACATGTAGAACTGTTGTGAGCGCTTTACATTCATTAACTCACCTAATCCTCTCGACAACTTTACAAAGTACATACTATTATTAACCCCGTTTTATAGATGGAAAAACACAAGCACAGAGGAGGTAAAAGACTTGTCCACATCCCTGGCTAATAAGTAGCAGGGCCAAGATTTGAACCCAGGGAGTCTGGCCTCAGTGTCTGAGTACAAATCAATGTGCTGTTTCACGGGATGGGCATTCTAGCATTCCAGAATGGGGAAAAAAAGAGAAACTATATTACAGTAATGCAAATTCAAGTCACTTTAACTGCAGTAACTACCATCACCAAAGAGCCCAGGGTTAGTAACCAAGATTATTCAAACACCAATAAATACTCCCTTATAAACATTCTCTCCAAAAGAATACAGTGAAACCCTTTCTTTAGAAGAGCCCAGAAACGATTAATTAGCAGCCCATCACGGAGCTGCTTTTTGGTGAATCCTAAAATGTTGTAAATAAAAAAATAAATAAATATAAATAAATAAATAATAAATAAAATGTAAATAAAGACAATTTTTAAGAAATACCTTTTTAATAAAGCACTTTTGCCTCTTGGCAAATTTTCCTTTTGCCAGCTAAACTCCCCAAGTAATTTGGCTCTGCTTTACAGCTGCAGGGACCACAGATTTATTATGTGACACAATTAGCCATTGTTTTCCTTCTGGAAGATGTGGTCTGGGATGTGTACCATATGATGGGAGCCACAAGATGGAGCTCTAATATAGGAAATGAACTACTGAGCAGGCCCTAGATTATTATCATTAGCATTTCAGAAGAGTTATATTTTCCCCCACATAATTATAGGACACTTGACTGTTGCAAAGCACTTTGCTCACAACTCCCATCTGGCCACAAGAGTTTCTGTGCACTTACTTTCTGAGGAAATCCTCCAAACCCTGACGCCGCTGATCTACATGCTGGCGATTATTCATGTTGAAAAATAGGTTTTTAGATGGAAGTTCTGGCAGTTGTCTTACGAGAAAGAAAAAAAAAAGTTTTTAATCATCAAATCAAGGTGCTTTGGTGAAACCAAATTATATGTGATAATTATCGTGTAACTATCATATAGTTGTATATGTATCTTATGTCACATACACATAGTTCTATAATAAGGGTATGAGAAAATTAAGTTAAAGAAAAACCCATTTTTAAACATTTCTGAGGCCTTCCATGGCCAGTACTTATCAAGTTGAGGAAATTTAAGTGGTAAATTTTGAATTCAGATGCAGTAACCACAGAACTAGCTAAAGCTAATATACTGCAATCAAAAAAAAAAAAGCCTATGTACTATGTCGTCTACTGCACAACAAATTTTAAAATATTGAATATAATAATAAAGTCTCCTCAATATCACTTATTTAAATCACTTACACCAGCAGTGCATTACTTTGGAGTCTCTGCCTCAGCCATACAAATTCTCTGTATCTTCTTCGCACACAGGATGTTTTCATTGTAAAACACATGCTATTGGTCTGTTTAAAGAAAAAAAACACGTATAAGCTTTCCTTAAGGAAAAAAAAAAGTTTTTTCTTGCATCTCTTACTATATGCACCCATATACACTTTTAATAGGATTTTTTTAAACCAAAAATACATTGGCATTTATGCTAGACTCCCATCTTGCACAAAACCCACCAATATAACATTGCTGAAGACAGCTGGGATGACATCAATGAGCAGTGTCATCCTGGGGCGAGGCATGACCCCACCAACTCCCTTGAGTCCTGAGGCAGCCTCTTGCTCACCTATTAGCACTGCTATCAAAGATGAATCATAAAAATTAAACAAATCCTGAAGTCTAAGTGACCAATAAAAACTCAGGGTCATCCTTTCATTTTAACACCATCCATCCATCCGTGTGTGTAGCTGCAAAAGACCTTTGGGAATGAGAAACACATTCTTACAGCCCTTGATATGATGCAAGAAGCCATCATATCCTTGATATGGCCATAGGTACAGATCACACAAATCACCAGGCATCCTGAAATCACTTTTTTTTGGGGGGGGGGGGCTGATATTACCATAGTTTAATCGCAAAAGAGCTGCTACAGCACCAATCCAGACATTTCCCTGCACCCAAACCATGTTTATACTCTGAACATCCTCAGAAAACTGTTTCCCCAACTTACGCCGATTTTCTTCCAGAACCTATTGGTATCATCAATTTTACTTCCAATGTTCTAACTTGCTGAATGGTGGGTCTTCTCTCCCTTATGTTTATCTCATGTCTGCATCTTGGGGTCTTCTCTGACTGTACTGAGCTTGAAGCAGCAGCCCCCTGAGAACCATCAGGAGGATCAAGGTAGGCATGCCCACCCGGATGGGATTCTCCACTGTGTAATCTTGGTTGGTTGTGGCTGTGATCAGGATATCTTGGGACGGAGGGTACCTGGGGCTGATCATGTGGAGGAGAGTTTGTGTTCACCATAGCATCTGTACTGGCCCCTGTGGGTGGGGTCTACACAGCCCCGGGGGAAGTCAGAGCTGGGCTGCCTGTCTAGACAGTGGGGAGCTCTTCGTCCTGTGACCCCCAGGTGCAGAGGGTCACTGGGGTGTACTGAAATTGCTTTTAAAACAGCAGTCTCCTCTACTAGACGTGCAAGGTAGAGTGAGGCAGTCAGTGCATGGGGACAAACATCTACGTGGGGAGTCTGCAAACCAGTCCCACTCTGCCACGGGACAAATCACTTCAACTCCAGTTTACCAAATGGTAAAATGGGGACCAAGTAGTACGTACTTATTTCACAGGGTGGTTGTAAGGAGTGAGATAAGTACCTGGCAAATGTTATCTATAAATATTATTAATAGATAATACATGGGTGTCCTTCCAGCTACCGTAAAGTAGACTTCGAAAAAGTGACCCATGGAATCCCCATCCTAAGCAAAACAGAAATGCTTCTCCTTCAGGTAAACCCAAGACTGGTAAATACAAGTGTTTCTCCTTTCTCCTTTCTATAAACAAGAGACTGGCAAATATCTGTCTATTGGTGTTGTAAGGAGATCTCTATTCTCTGTATTTATTTCAAAATTCTATTTCATAATCTTTACATTGCCAAATGAAAAAACTGTTTTGCCCCAAAGATTTATATTCTCTCAAGATTATTATCATTCTACCACTTAATAAGCACCCAGCACTTGTTTTCCTTGGCAAATGTAAGTGATTATGTGCCTGAGTTCTTAAACTGTTCCTATGAAATGTATGGCATGGTTCCTGATACTCCCGAACTTGATAAAGTTCGGAAAGCCTCAAAAGGCAGAGGGGTTAAGACATCTGTCCCCAAAGTAACTACTGGTCTAAACCCCATCACCTTTGACAATATGGCAGCAAAACGCACCAGATGGAGTTTGTGGCACAATCTGTGTGTGGATTTCAAAGCACACCAGGGCCTCACTCTATAAAGTGATCAAGTGACAGACCATTTACACCAGAACAAGGCCCTCACAAGGCCTGGGCAGATATCTTCTCAGTGCTCCCTCCCCAGAGAGGACCAGGCCACTGCAGGGACTCTTGATGCCTCACCTACAACTGAGTCAATTTCAACTCCCTTTCATTTCTCTGTTCTGAATTACTATGGATGTCAATGTCATGGATGTTGACTGAAGATCTGTCTGGTACCTATACCAGACAGAGGTCCATTCATAAGTCCTTCATTTGCAGGACAAGGTCAGGAGAATATATATAGTCCACTAGTTTAAAATTCCAAATAAATGCTAAGATGCCAGAGTCACCTGGTATCATTTCCCTTGAGGTTAATTTAAAAGGGTTAACCACCAGCTTCTCTACCTGCAAAGCTCTATGGGTATAGCATCTGAGGGAGGCTGACAAGAGCCCTCCAGGCCCTCCCACCCATTCCTAATCATAAACAAGTATGGACAGTTCAGACCAGAATATGCTGAGATCACTTATTTATTAAGCTCCTCTAAATCTATTTGCTTATTTCTGCTATCTACCAAGCCAAGATTTATACAATGTCAATTTATTAGCATTTCAGCAGAATGCCAGAAAACCATCAAATAATACTTGTAGAACCTATCATTTCTGGCTTGAGACAGACATTTCTGAATTCACCTCAAGCTATTTATGTAGCAGAGAAAAATCTATGCTTTCATTTACTCTCTGAGGATAATTAAATTTCATGTCTACCATAAAGAGTGATAAGGATCCACATATTTTTTAGAGGAAGTTAAAAAGGTAACTAGAGAATTTCATTTCATTTTCAAATGCTTAGTCTTACATACTCATGTTATAGTTTTCTACACAGAATCCATATCTGGTGTGACTTTAGGAGTAAAACCAAAACAAAATAAAAATACAAGGCATACCCTGGCAGTGACCTTTAACACAATTAATAAAAAGTAGTTCTAAACAAACACAAAACAACCACCACCACCACCACCAAAAACAAAACAAAACAAAACAAAAAAAACAGTTCTGAGTTTTTACTTTATTTTCTAAGTTGGGGAACTTGGGAAGAAAAAAAAGGGAAGAAAGGAAGGGAAAAAAAAGTTTTATGGCTGATGCTTGGGTGTCCAATATACCAGGTTAATTATTTACAATGGGAAAACTAAAGGTGGCTAAATTTTACTTCATTTGAACTATATAGTCACAGATAAAATCTGAGCCTGTTTCTATGTTCCCAAGAGAATTCTGGACTAAATCTGATGGGGAAACTGACATCTCCATGATCAGGGCCAATAAACTATAACCTGTGGGCCATATCCAGCCTGCCAGTTGTCTTTGCAAATAAAGTTTTATTGGAACACAATTACATGTACTCATTTACATACTGTGTATGGCTGCTTTCACCTACAAGAGCGGAATCGAGTAGATTCAACAGAGAATGTATGGCCCACAAAGCTGAAAACATTTACTACCTGGCTCTCTACAAAAAAAGTTAGCAAGTTAGCTGTTGAAGATGATCGTAGAAGGCCACACACCACACAACATTATCCAAGAGATTATAATAAAGTATTATTTCCAAATAAAATACATCATTTCTATTTATTTACTTATGTTAATTACTGAGAATCTAGATTAAGACAAAATAATTGCATGTATTCATTTCCTACTTCCTTATTCTACATATAAAACCACAGCACATCAGTTTTTCAGAGAACTCTATATCTCTCAAAACCTAAGATTTATCAGGTAATGTATTACACAGAAATATGCTATAACAAATCATAAAGAAATACCATTAATGAACTATAAATACTCTTTAATGGTGAATTTTAGATGTATGCACATATTCATACATGTAGGCAATAAACATTAAAATATTAATATTAGTAAAGATACAATAAGGAACTCAAAGGAGTAATTTCCCAGCTTTAGGAGCCAGATGACTACCCTGTTGGAGATACAGGCATTACTTGTCATCATTCAAATTCCATTCTTTGAGTTAGGAAAATTTTTACAGATTTCAATTTTTAATATAACAGTGCGCCTTAAGAGATATACCTAAAAATTACTATGATCTCTGTAGACTCTTGACTGCATACTTACATGAATACATATCTCATAGTCAATATAAGAATGCCAAAAGTCCTCTTTCTGAATCCGAGGATCTCGAACCCAGACGCTTACAAACTCCTGTAAAGGCATCATAAAAAAAGAGATGTTTCAGAATCGCAAGGAGGTCTGGAAAGAGCAGAGGGAAATGATGCTACCAAAATAAAACTGAAATGAGCTGTGGTCGTTCATTCTTAAAAAAACAAGAAGTAAGGTTAATGAATCAGGCACCACAGGAAGTCCAAAAGTACTTCTGCCACAAATGGAATTTTCAAAATGATGCAAAACCAAGCTGGGTGTCCTTAAAGTCTTACAGGTTATATAATGACAAGAAAATATACTCGAAAACGGATTTTTCATTTTTAATCATGAAAAGTATGTTCAGGGTTTTCTCAAATCATAAAAGCGGCCATTTCTTACTTTCTTCATCCCTCTACATTAAAACTAAGTCACTCCCTAGAACAAAATACAAAAAACTAGTGAAGATCATGTGAAGCAAGCAATGGAAGATGAAAATGACTTCATATATGCAGCCCAGCTTCATGAGATTAAGCAGCAATAACTTATTAATAAAAAAGATAAACACCTTTTACTCAATACTTTTCTATTTTTAAAATATATTTTTCCATTTGGTGAATCATTTCGTCTTCATAACCTCATGTTATAGATAAAAAGTTAGCAATGTTAAAAAAAATACACGGTAGATAATCTTGTTCCTTTTTAAATATAGTAAGAATTGGAAATAAAATTTAAAACACAATACTTCCCAAAAAGTGCCCTTTACTACATAAGCTTAGTTTAAAAATATGAAATCACGTACAACAGGCAATTATTATGTTTGGCACAATAAATTTTAAAGTAAGTTATACTCACTTGGTGATCATAAATTTGCTAAATGAATTATTTTATTTAAAGATTCCATTTATTTTAAAGATTTTATTTATTTATTTGAGACAGAGAGTGAGAGAGAAAGTAAGCGTGAGTGGTGGAAAGAACACAGGGAGAGGGACAGAAAATTTCCCAACTGAATGCAGAGCCCCAGTGGGGCTCAATCCCATGAGCCTGAGGTCATGACCTATGAAATCAAGAGTTGGACACTAAACCAAATGAACCACCCAGGCATGCCTAAAGATTTTACCTTTCAGTAATCTCTACACCCAGCATGGGGCTCAAGCCCAACACCCCAAGATCGAAAATTCCATGCTCCACTGACTGAACTGGCCAGGCATCCTGAATTTTTTTTTTAAGATTTTATTATTTTTTTTTAAAGATTTTATTTATTTATTCATGAGAGACACAGAGAGAGAGAGGCAGAGACACAGGCAGAGGGAGGAGCAGGCTCCACGCAGGGAGCCTGACGTGGGACTCGATCCCAGGATCCCGGGGTCACGACCTGAGCCAGAGGCAGACGCTCAACCGCTGAGCCACCCAGGTGCCCTAAAGATTTTATTTTTAAATAATGACTATACTCTATATGGGCTTAAACTCACAACTCCAAGAATAAGAGCTGCATGCTTTACCAACTGAGCCAGCCAGGCACCCCTAATTGAATCTAATTTTAAATATTTTAACCTTTTGTCTAAAGAATGGGGTATCAAAGCTGAAATTTTAGGCCTTTGTTACTGCTTTGTTTTGGTACATCGGAAGGACAGGCTAGGAACGCTCTAGAGCAGAAGCAGAAGAGAGATTATGGTGTTTTCTGGACAAAGCACCTCCATTCTGTTACACAGATTGTAAAGTGAGACTCAGTACAGAGGATTTTTTTTTAAGGTGAAAAAAATAGTTCATATCCCCTCTTGCCACCTATCAAGTGTCACCTTCTAAGGCAACATAATTTTTGTTCTTGAATTTGAGATTTCTGCCTCACTGCCTCCCCTCAGTATAAGGGGATTAGGAGTTCATCTTTCCGAGCCTTACTTTAAAATCTCTTCATTATGTATTTTTAAGGTCATTTAGCAGACAATAAAAACAAGATGACCATACAGTGATGCTCCACACATTTTTGGCCTTTATTTCCCAAAAGCACATTAAATTATAAGAGAAGCTGCCCAGAGATGGAAACTGGAACGAAACCCAGGCACGATGCCTGAGTCCGTGCACATTTCACCTTGATCTCCTGTCTGTGGGTGTGTGTGTTTTTAACTCATTTCCCTGGAGTATTTTTCACATACCCCCAGCATTCTTAGAAGGAATGAACCGGTCATCAATGAATCAATGAACAGAGGGCAAATAGGTTAGGAAGAGAAGACCGGCGTCCAGGGCAGACATTGACTTTTCCAAATCCCCCATCCACACATACACTCAGGGCTGCCTTCTCACTTTCCTGGACCTGGGTACTTTCTGCCACAAAAAAAAAAAAAATAAATAAAAAAAATATATATATATATATATATTAAAAAATCATACTTTATGACTATACTGACATAAAGATGAATATATCAATATTATATATTAAAACCTTTACTGTCATCTAAAAGTACATTTTACTTTTCTGATTTTAAAAGAAGTCAAAACAGAGGCGCCTGGGTGGCTCAGTCAGTTAAGTGTCTGCCTTTGGCTCAGGTCATAATCTCAGGGGCCTAGGATGAGCCCCCACATCAGGCTCCCTGCTCAACAGGGAGTCTGCTTCCCCCCTCCCTCTGCCCCTCCCCCTGTTTGCTCTTTCTCTCTCAAATAAGTAAAATCTTAAAATAAATAAATAAATAAATAAATAAATAAATAAATAAATAAATAAACAAACAAACAAACATTTTATTGGGCCCTGGTCACCACTATGCCTAATGGAGAAGCCAGTGGAGCCCACACTGAACAAGGCACAACACGGGTAACAGCAGCCAAGGTTACTCTGTGCTACCCCTTCTGGCTCTTCAAGCCAGAAGGCACCTAGTCATCAGGTCACATGTAAGCCATGTGCCCTCACAGGGTGCTGGCAGCTCCACTTTTCCACTTGGAGAGGCAGGAGTTCTTGAATTTACCAAAAGGGAAATTAAAAATTTCCAATAGCGGAATGTTCTATATTAACAGCAGAAGCCATGTACCTGTTACTGAAATAGTAGGCTTTTACACAGAGTTTTAAAAAAATGGTAAGAAAGGAAACCCTTTTGTCAATGTGCCGCAAACTTATGATTTTAAAAAAAATTTTTTTAAAAAGATTCTGAACTAAAACTATAAAACCCACAGCTACTACAGTGTCACAAACCCCCTAACCACTCGACATACTATTAATTAATGATGGTAGCAATGACAAACAGTTCTGAAAAAAAATCAGGGCTCTTTTCCCCTATTTGCTTGCTACTGTCCAACTGTTAACATGTAAGCTGTGAGTAACATATCCCTTTTCATGGAAAGAGCAGTAATTATGGTCACAAGACTAGGAATAAATTTTTATTTATCCACTTTCTAAATTATTAACTTACTCACTGAGCCTGTTTCCACATTTGGAAAATGGGAATAATGCTTGTTCCAACTTATCTCAGCTGTTTGTTAGGAGTATCAAATTATAAAACACTGGTGAAAATGCTAGGAAATTTTTCATTTAGCACTATGTGAATATAGGGGTGCCCCGGTGGCTCAGTTGGTTAAGTGTCAGACTCTTGACTTCTGCTCAGGTCTCAGGGTCACGAGATCGAGCCCATGTCAGGCTCCGTGGTAGAGGTGGAACCTGTTTAACCTGTTTAAGTTTCTCTCTCTCTCCCCCTCTTCCTTTGCCTCTCCCACCACCCCTGCTCATATCCTTGCTAAAAACAAAAAACAAAAAACAAAATGTTTCAGTGCTATGTGAATGTAAAGTATTATTACATAGAAAGGAAAATGCTTATAAACCCAAAGCACTGAGACCTTCCCACAGACACAGGCAAGAAGCAATTAAGCTAAACCAACTGTATATATTTTTTAAAGTACAAACTATTAATTTAAGAACCCAGCAGCAAACACTTTAACACTGTAATTTTTCAGTAAAACACTGACCTAAAGATTTCACAGTACTTGCTCAGAGCAAGCCCCTCATAATATTTGTAGAAGGAATGGACAGCATAATGACAAATTACAGTAAAAAAGTCCTTTCTTCATCTCCGTGGGTTGGAATTCTCAGACTCTACTATTATTATCACTCATTAAGTCTAATCTTTACATAGGGGAGGGCATGCTGAATACATATTCTAAAACTATGCCAGGCGGGGGGATGGGGAACAGTCTTCTAAGAACAGCAATGCAGGGGATCCCTGGGTGGCGCATGGGTTTAGCACCTGCGTTTGGCCCAGGGCGTGATCCTGGAGTCCTGGGATTGAGTCCCGCATCTGGCTCCCTGCATGGAGCCTGCTTCTCCCTCTGCCTGTGTCTCTGCCTCTCTCTCTCTCTCTCTCTCTCTCTCTCTCTGTGTGTGTGTGTGTCTATCATGAATAATAAAAAATAATAAAATCTTAAAAAAAAAAAAAGAACAGCAATGCATTTTAAATGCACAAGTTTGGGGATGCCTGGGTGACTCAGTGGTTTAGCAATTGCGTTTGGCTTTTAGGTCATGATCCCAGATCCTGGGATCTCCCTCTGCCTATGTCTCTGCCTCCCTCTCTGTGTCTCTCCTGAATAAGTAAATTAAAAAAAAATAAATGCACAAAATTAGCTATGGTGCTAAGATTCTAAATATTTTTTCGATCTTGAAAATCTTTAACTTGGAGTGCTAAATATCACTATTCTTTTGCGGATGGTGAGCTTTTCCCTTCTCACTCTCTTAAACACTGCTGTGGCCCCCTGAGTGTCATCCCCAGCTGCTGTTCCTCACACCCTGCTGCACTTCCAGGATGATCTCATCCAAACATATGGTTTCAAGCACCCAGCATGAGCTGATGATTCCATCTCCATCCCAGCCCAGGCATCTCTCCACATACATATCCAGCTTCTTGCCTAGTGGTCCCATGAGCACAGAGGCCACACTCTTGCCACACCCTCTTGCTCTCCATCTCATTTCCAGCCAACCCACCAGAAACCCAGTTACCCTAGACCTCTCTCTTTGACTCACCTCCCAAATCCACACTGACCAAGTTCTCAAGATTCTTTTTTTTTTAAGTTTTTATTTATTTATTCAA